AGTTTTTTGAGACAGGGTTTCTCTGTAGCTTTGGAGCCTGTCCTGGCACTAGCTCTTGTAGACCAAGCTGGCCTCGAACTTACAGAGATCCGCCTGCCTCTGCCTCCCAAGTGCTGGGATTAAAGGCGTGCGCCACCACCGCCTGGCTCCACCCCGGTCTTTAACTTTCTCAGTTTATCACCTCTTTTCTTAAGAGGCGGGAAGGAAGGTCCACCCCCCGGCAAGGAAATACCTATATGCCAAACTTAACAGCCATAGCAAAACCAAATACTAATTCTAGGTTTCTCTATGTCTAGGCAAGATTTAATGTGGGGTGGGATCTTTAATGCTTGCAAAAATTTCCAATTTAAGTAGAAAACTATTTCTAGAGTACATAATGTGATCCTGTAACAATGACCAAAAATTAAACATTGGTGAGTGTCCTAATTAGCTTTAACTGTCCGTTTGACACATCATAGTATCTTCTGAAAGGAAAACCTCAATTGAGGAATTATCTACACCACACTGGCGAGGAAGCACACTATGGGGGGATTGTCTTGATTGTTAAAAGATGTGGGAAGGTCCGGTCCACCATGAGCAACACTATTCTCTAGGCAGGTGGTCCTGGGCTTTACACACCAGGCAGCTAGCAGACTACATCCTCTGTGGCTTCTGCTCCTGCCTGTGTTCCCACCCTGACCTCCCTCCATAGTGGACTGTGTGTGACAGCTAAGTGGAAAGAGACCCCTTTGTCCCGAGCTGCTTTGGGACGCGGTATTTGTCACAGCAACAGAATGAAGCTAGAACAGCATAAGGCAGCTTCATATCTAAGATGTCACCCGCATAAAATTTTTCCTCGTCTATATAAAAGAAATTCAGAGTATGTAACCCCGAAGCTGAGGCTTTAAAATCCTGTGCACCGCTGGATTTTAATTGCTCTGCTGAGGTTTTCCCGGTTTCTAGTTTTCTGACCCTGCCCCCATGTGGGAGCAGAATGACTCTGATTTTATCTGTTTTTAATAAAAAGCTTCAATATAAGATTTCAGGTTTTTTAAGAAGTTCTGCTGCCTCAAAAAAAAATTGAAAACCAGGTTTTTTTTTTCTTTTGAGCTTTTTCTATTAAATGTTTTATGTGTTAAACTGCAAATATTAAGCATAGCCTTCTAAAAACTCTAAAAGGAAAAAGCCCCGCAGGGTCTCACCTTTTCCCATCTGATCCAGAAGGGTTTGTCCAGTTTGCTTCAGCTCGTCAAGTCGGGGGGTTCTTTCTGTCTGTTCTTTTTCTAATCCCTGGAAATAAAGCCCAAATATAAAATAATAAAAACGTCCTCTCAATATAATGTTGAGACCATTTTAAAATCTCGTGTTTAGTGCCCTTTTCAAAGTTTACCTACAAAGTACTACAATGAAAAAAACTAAGAAATTCCTGGCCACTCTCTAGCTCTTGGAGAATTAATAAATCTGAAAAAGGAAATTCCAGAACCAATAATTACAGTGACTACACACTTTAGATTCTTTTAGAAGGATAAATTATATACTCTGTAATTATGAGATACTATCAAGAGGAAATCATTAAAATTAGTATTTTGGGTCTACGATAATCATTCGTAAACAGTTTATTATATATCATAAGAATAAAGGTTTGGGACACACCATTTTTGTTGTTTTGTTTTGCTTTGTTGGTTTTTCTAGATAGAACTAGCTCTTCAAGAGCTAGTTCAGGCTGACCTTGAACTCAGAAATCCACCTACCTCTGCCTCCAGAGTGCTGGGATTAAAGGCACTAAAACCATCAGGTCTCACTTGGGCACACACCTTTAACCTCGACATTATAAAAGCAGAGAAAAGAGTTCCTCTGAACTCTGTGAGTTCAAAGCTAACCTGGTCTACAGGACTAGACAAAACTATATAGTGAGCCCCTGTCTCAAACAAAATGAAAAGGGGGTGGGGAAAAAAGAGAAAAAAAGAATGGTTTGGGGACAAAGGAACTTGACTACGGCTATGACAGAGGTCACCAAGGAGAAGCCAGAGAACAAGAAATGATTTCGAGCCTCAGTATTATTTGCTGGCATTATAGTTGGTCAGAGTCTAATCCTAACTCAGATGTGAACACATCATATTTCACATGCAATTGTAAAGTAATGGAAATATGCTTTATAGGCCACACGAAAGTGTTCTTGGTTTGAGAAGTAATGCTTTATCATAATACAGTGGCTGACAGTATCTGTCTGCGGAGAATGTTAGACACCAAAATCTGAGATGGCTCACGCTTTTTAGGTAAAACAGTGTTTTGTTTGCATATAGCATGCCTCTACCCTCTTGAACGTTTAAGTAAGTCATCTCCAGTTTGCTTAAAACACCCAACAAGATGCAAACGTAAGCTAAGCAGGTGCTACGTAGTGGTTGGTACACTGGGGAAAGTGAGGAGAGCTATATGTGTCTAACGCAGATACAACCATCCTTGGACTCCCCCCCTGGTACCTGAGCAAGACAGAAAGCTGCAATTCTCTAACACAGCTGTTAGGCTGGGTTGAGGGGGCTGTGAAAGGGTGGGAAGGCACAACAGGGTGCGAGCTCACTTTGTTCACACAGACTCTCTGTAATGTTTGGTGTGCAATAAATACAAGTTTGGTTTTCGGTAACTTTCTAGAAACCCTTTTCCCCGATATTTTTAATCCGTTAAATAGCTCCACGGATCCAATGATGAAATCTAGTCTATTTTTAAAAGCTATCTTGTCTAAAGAGAATATATTGAGGAAATTTGAATACACCAAATGCTTTGTTGTACACAAAGGCAAAATTTCTGTGGAACAGCACAAAGTCCTACATAGCTAGGTGCCAGACTATGTAGATCTAAACATTAAAAGGCAGAAATGATGACTGTATGTACAGCTCAATGATTCAGAAGGAAAAAGGAAGAAAAATTAGAATTCCTCCTACATACGGGAATCTGATGTATAGTGTGACGCTCAAATCCATCTGCAGCTACATTGATTTCACGGAAGCTTCTAGACCCTGCCACCTCTCTAGGCCAACAGGTAAATTGGCCCGATGTATGATTTGCTTTCCAAGCATGTTTATTTTGTATTTTACCTTCAATTTCTTCTTCATTCCCGAAGTCTCCTGCAACTTCTTATACTCCTTCACCTCTGTGTTCTGAATGGCACTCTTTGATTTCAAAATCCAGTTCAACAGCTCGGCACTTACAGCATCAAACCTGGTTCAAGACAGAGATGTTAGCCTCTGCCACTGGCTTCTTCATTGTTGCCTTAGCCCAGTAAAGGACAACCTGAATGCCCATCAGGCATGTGTGATCAAACAATGCCCAAAGAGAGCCAAAACAGAGCAGCCACTACAACAGTAGCTCACTTTTACAATTATAAGTTAGCACACTATAGGGTTAATAGAGTAATAATCAACTTGTTGGGTTTTTTTTTTTTTTTACTTAATTGGAAATCATTTGTACCTTTATAAGCTATTGCAGATAACAAAAACCAGATTTCATGAGATGGTCACAGAAAAGAACAATGACAAACCTTCCTACAATTGTTTTTATACAATATGCAGTTAGCTCGACCTAACTTAGTTTTCAAGAAGCTTCAGGTCATCAGGAAGCAACGAAAAGTGCCAGGTCATAACAAAAAGAATTTGCACTACTAATTGCGGCACTTCAGAGGATTGACTCCTCACCCATCCAGGGACAGGATGGTCTTGGGGCATAACAGTGGTTGTACGCTCTCCCTGTGAAGGGAAAACAAAAGAAAGAGGGTCATATTCTACAAGCTGCAGACGGGTGTGTCTGGGACAGTGAGAACTATGAGGTAAGGCTAATTGCAAAGAGGCCAAAAATCACAGGTGCCAGTTACTGGAAGGCCCTGGCTGATGTATTAAAGACTTAAACAAACAGCAATAAAGGGTGTTGAGCACAGAACTAATAAGACTCTGTTCATAGGGTCCTATTCACTGCTGGGTCAGAACCAGATGCTTCAAAGAAAAAGATGCCAAAGAAGGCCAGGGGAACCCAATAGAGTGGCAATGGGAGAATGAAGAATGGGCAGGTTAAACATGGGATGCAAAGGCCGGTGAAAAGTCCAGAGAGGAAGGTGACCAGCCCTCAGCCAAGCCTTTCAGGTAAGTCACTAACACAAAGAATCCTCACAACACCCTATGAAAACAAAACACATTTTCTTTTTCTTTTTTTTTTTCTGTTTTTTTTTTTTTTTTTTTTTTTTTTTGAGACAGGGTCTCTCTGTATAGCTCTGGCTGTCTTGATCCTGGCGTTGTAGATTAGGCTGGCCTTGAACTCATGGAGGTCCACCTGCCTCTGCCTCCTGATTACTCGGGATTAAAGGCGTGCGCCACAACCAGCCAGCAAAAACACACTTTTGATCACTCCTGTTAGGGTGGAAGCAATAGAGCTCAGAAAAGTTTTAAATAACTGCCCACACCAATAAATAAATCAAACAAAGATAATCCATGTAGCTAGTCCCCTCACCCCAGCGAGTATTAATATCACAAACAGGAAAAGATGGATTTGATGACGACGCTGGGAAGCATCCCTTAATGTGTTTCTTGTAGATTCTGAAGAATTGCCCCTTCACTAAGGTTAAGTTTTCTGTATAATAGGTGATTTTTAAAAAGGCATGACTACAATATCTTAATCTAAATCACTGAGGTGTAGGGTGGAGAAGGTAAGAGAATTAACCAAGTAATAGCTACCAGCCAGAACTAATACGCTAGTTCCACATTCCTGAAAGTAAGTTAAAACTGACCCCAGGCACCACCACCTGTTAATATATAAATGTTCCAGTCCAGCAATGCCTCTCTGGACTGTGCACTCACTTATCCCCAGACCTCCCCTGCCTTGCAGTTTCTTCTCTAGCTGCAATGTAAACAACTGAAACTTCCATCCCCAATCTTTCCTACATCCCAGCACTCTGGGAGGCAGAGAATGGTGGATCTCTGTGAGTTCGAAGCCAGCCTGGTCTACAGAGTGAGTTCCAGGGCAGTCAGGGCAGTAACACAAAGAAACTCTCTCTCAAAAAAACCAAAACAACGACAACAGCAACAACCAAATGCCTTGGGCTGGGGAGATGGATGGCTCAGTAGCCAAATTGCTTGCCCTGCAAGATCTGATTAGATTACCAGAACCAACGTTTAAAAAGACTTGGTGGCATGCTTAGAGTCCCAGAGCTGGGGAGGCAGAGACAGCCAAATTCCTGAGGCTTGCTGACAAGTAAGCCAGGTGTACCATGCCTCAGAAACGGCTGACCTCTGGAACTCATGCATGTGTGCATACACACAAACTCATACATACACATACACGCGCGCACACACACACACACACACACACACACACAGCATTTTAGGCTCTCAGTTTCAAAGTGCCCATTTCTACTTGCTGAGCAGTTTTGTTACTTCAGGATTCAAAATTTGCACCAGGCCACTTACTAAACCCCCTTTACTTCAGAGACCTGAGGGTCCCTAAATTTTACTTGAGCATAACATAAGAGACAACCAGAACCCAGGTGTCATCAAGCATCTTCCTCCTGTCTTCTTACTAAGATTACTACATAATCTTTCGGAAAAGAAGAAAGCCCAAAGATCATACAGTTAAAATGGCCTTGGAGCCCAAATCAGTGTCTATCCTCAAAATGAGTTAGAAACACTGACTCCAGTAGCAGATAACCAGATAGGTAGAAATGCCTCTCCTGAGCAGATTAAAAAAAAAATCCATAAAGAAAACAAAATAAAATTGACTACTATCTGCATCAAAAGTAAAGAGAATGAAGTATTATATTTAAGGCATGCCCTGTAAGCTGAGGCTGGGAATAAGTAGTTACTTAGAGCTCTCAATAGTCTCCAATTCATCACCATCTCCACGGCAGACTGAATATATGAAAGGGTCTGAAAACTGCGTCACACCAGGAATTGCTAAGGAGACCCTCAGCTTTAGAACAACAGGAATGAATACGAGAGCTAACCTCAAATATCCACGCGGGGCCATGTGGAAGAGGGGCTGATCAGGAGACTAAAGGAAAACTGAACTGTGTTAACGATGAGAGATTCACACGGGAGAATAACCAGTTGGCACTGAGGAAGACTAGCAGCCTCCGCAACCAAGGCCGACAGGGAGCAGATACCACACGCTTGCCGAGAAGCAGCACTGGGCGTGGAGGTGTGTGTGCCAGTATGTGCCAATGAGCCACAAAAGGTCACAGACCTCGAGGCTCCGTCTCTCCTCTCTGCTGGGCTCCATGGCCTCCTCCTAGGATGTGCCTGCCATTTCTTAACAAACCGTCTTCGCTCCTGCTATTATCTAAGTAGCCCCGACCAAGCCTATCTTCCAGGAATAGAAACTAGAAATCCCAGTGGGCATCCTCCAGACTCCACAGAGGCACTCCTGAGTTCTCCACTACCCTACAGAGACAGCACACAGAACATTCAGAGGCAAGCTTGAGATGGAGAAACATTACAAGTAAGATTTCACTGCCTTCTGCTCCTATGCACTACATGGACTCGGGCCTCTGTGAAGGAATCAACGCAGTAACGAATGCCCACATCAATCTAACATGGGAGGTCATGACCAGCCCCTCACAGCTCACTGCTCACAACACCCTCTCTGTACGTTTATCCAAACTGGATGGACTGGGATAGGGGTAAGGGACACACGACGGAGTTCATCTGCACCTCCAAAAAGTACACCGAAGGTTGTTTATGCACTGAAGGGACCTGGCCAGGGATATCGAGGACAGCTTGGTAAGAATACAAGCTGTTGAGAGTGAAATCCACCCAGCCAATGACAGCAGGGACTACACGGAGAAGGCCTGAGGCGGCACATACGGCAACTGTACCACCTCTGGACTTCCCGTCCTGTGACTTGATAATGAGCTGTCGAAGTCACCTTGGGTACAATGTTTTGTTTCTGGCAGTGGATGGCTTGCTCTTCACTACAGGCAAGTTTAAATTAGACTCACACCACGATACAGCCTGTCTAGTCCAAAGTCAGTCCTGGAGACACGCGCTGCCAGATGCGGCCAGCAGCTAGGGAAGATCGCTGCTAATATTGACATCAGCGGTATCTTCTTCTCTGCTGCCATCGCCAAAGTCAAGGGGTCTACAGCTGCTGCTTGGAACTCCAGGTGCCCTAGTCCTTCTCGAGACACCATTAGAAGGCAGAAAACAGGCTGAGGGTCAGAAAGAAAGCCAGCTGGTACATCGTGAATCCTGCTTTCTCTCACAAAAACCGGACTATGAAAAGCATATCGTTCTAAGTCGGGCCCCTCATAACTGAAGATGTACCCCAGCCCTGGGATCTCACTCCAGGACATGACAACAAACTAGAGGCCGTGTTAAGGGCTCACTGTGACCAGGCATATAAGATACGGTACCTGGAACACAGCACATCTTAAAGGACCTGACACAGCACAGCAAAGGCCCAGGGAATGCCCCTGAGTTCCCCTTCTTCTAACCGTCTCCAGCTTTCTTTTTGAATCAATAACAAAAGAGATATTTCCACCAATAGAGGTCTTTCAGCTAAACAGGAACAATCCATTTAGGAACCTGATAAAGAAATTGACAAAGAAAACCTGAACTCTTGGAGGAAGGAGAGGATGGGGAGGAAAGAGGGGGGCATGAGAGACCAAAGATGCATTATCTCCTTGAACTGCTATTTTAAACAGTGAGAAAGGGAAAGAGATTCACAAAGAATAAGGAATTTATCAGAAGCCAAACTGTCAATCCTTTAACATCTGAAAGAAAGAATAAAGGAGGAGCTGCAAACAATCCTGAGGGGGTGGAGGGGGGGGATGGGAATGGGGATGAGAAAGGAAGAGTTGCTGCATTCCACCAGTCTCCAAATCTAACAGAGGAGGAATAAAATCCCTTGGGGCAATTTAGACGCTTGGATCCTGTGAAGCAGAATATTCCAAAGACTCAAAAGGCAGCAAATGAGCTCAGGACTGCATTTCCATAATAATGAGCATGTCGAACTTCGCATTTGATTAGTGATTAGTGCAAGCTACTTTCCGCAGGAGCCAGACATTGGGATGTCTCTCACTTTTTCTTGGCCTCCGTGTTCACGTGGATCTGCCTCTTCTTTGGCGGGGGAGGAGGGGGCAGCTCCTGTTTAGACTTTTTGGTCATGCCTTGTTCTCTGACGTGAACGGTCTCCAAAAGATCTTTCTGAGAGATCTGGGACATGCCAAGCTTTGCAACAGCCTGCGTCACCTGAAAGAAACGTCACACCAAGCTTTGGTTTTATATGAAGGCTTTTACTGAGAGATATTCACATAAAATTCTCCCTGTGAAAATGTGCAATTCGAGCCAACTATGGTGGCACACACCTGTAATCCCAGCCCTTGGTAAGTAGAGGCAGGGATTAAAGTTTCGAGGTTAAGCCAGATCTACCTAAAAGCAAAGGGTAAAGCCTACTTCAGAGTCTATTCTTGTAACTCCATGTTAGCCATGGCCAGGCCCATCTTGTAATGCTCCTCCATTCTGCTTGAATAATGGCAATTCTCACTACTTCTGGTCACGCCGCTGACTCCCAGTAACGGCTGACCAAAAAGGATGTTTATTGACATTTTCTAAGTTGCCACTCACCTTTTCTTCGCACAGGACAAAAGAGAAAACATGTTAGTGTCCTTTTCTTTCCCCTTTCTGTCACGTGACTAACTAACGTCCCAGTCTGCAAGCAGACAGTGAGCTCTGGTTCCTTAACTGGAGACCCACTCTGCAGGCTTTTCTTCCAAATAAAGAGCTTGTACTATCGGTGAGTAGCTCATACCCTTGTCTGTCTTTTCTTCTGGCTGGATTTACACTCTTAGACCACTTAATGACCCCCAAATAGAACCTAATACCTGTTCACAGCATCCCATACCCCACTCTCCACCCCTGGCAACCTCACAGCACCCCATACCCCAATCCCCACCCCTGGCAACCTCACAACATCCCATACTCCAATCCCCACCCCTGGCAACCTCACAGCATCTCATTCCCCAGTCCTTACTCCCTGAAAACCAATGAGTGCCTTTCATCCTGCCAGACTTTATCCTGCACATTCCAGAGGTACAGAGAAACAATGGACATGGCTGGCTTCTTTTAGTTATCAGGATGCTTTCCTGGTTCAGTCATATTATGTCAATGCCTCATTTTTATTGCCAATTAGTACTGCATTAGCAAACTTTTACTTCATGGTGGAATATACTACCCAAATTGTAAGGTACCTGGTTTGAAGAGTCTTCCAGTCTCTGAACCAAAGAATCCCATCTCTGCGTTAGTTCCTCGGAGTCACTGTTCATCTTCTTAGATGCTTTGGGATTATTGAGTAATTGGCCCACATCCTGGCCAATCTCACTCAGTTGGTCCAGTGTTTGCCTCTTCATTTCCATGTCTTCCTTCAAAATCTAGTATGCAAAATATTTATCAGACAACTCTCTCTCTCAGCAAGGCTTATCTTCCCCAGGAAGTATAAGAGGTAGATTTGTGGTACCCTTCTCTCTGCTACAATAAATGGCTCTTGGTTCAGTACCAAGGTTGGCAGCAGTCTTATAGTAATGGCAAATGAGCCATAGCCTGTACTCACTCAACTGTATTAACACCTAGTTAGAAAACACTAGATATCACAGGTTTATAACGGACACCTACAGGGACACACTTACAGCCAGACGCCGGACGCTGACACTCAGTTCCCTTTGGTCTTTGAAGTTGCCGGTCTGGACTTTGTTCAAAGCTTCTTCCTTTTCCGTGAGCCAAGCTTCCAACAAGCACTACAAGTAATAACAAACGTTGTAAATATACACAGGAGATCATCTAGTGGTTCACATAGGTTCCCAAATATCTAACTTGTATTAATGACGTCACATTTAATTGAGAATAATAAGAACTTTAAATACCCAAGTCTAAAGAGCAAATGACTGGCAAAAGCGTTAGCCTCCTACATCTTACAACAGAAAAACCTGCTATTAGTCCAAACCTAGGGTGACTGGCAATGTGTGGATGGGATTTTGTGTGTCCTCCAAGGGCTACTATGCTGGAAGATTTTGGTGACCAGTGTGGCAGGTAAGAGGTATGTGGAGCCTAGTAGGAGGTCACTGAGGGTACTGCTCTCAGAAGGAAGGAAGGAAGTACTTCCGGGGCTTCCATAAGTTCCCGAGAACCACTGCAATCAAAGAGCAAGGCTGACCCCTTCCTGACCTCTGGTTTCCTATGGGTCCACATGAACTCTTCCTTTGGTGTCTACTCCCACCACCGTGCTAAGTGTTGTGATGTGACAGAGAGGGGTTTCATACCAGAGCTAGCACCGTATTCCTTGATGTTTCCCCTCTAAAACTGGGAATGAAGCAAGCCTTTAGGACAGTAGGTGTGACTCGGTGATAGACTTTTAGGTTCAGTCCTTAGTAGGACCTCATAAAAGAATAAAAATAAGCCTTTTGATCCTTATATATTTCCCAGCCTCTAGGATGTTTTTTGTTTGGATTTCATTTTGTTTGTTTTGGACAGGGTCTTGCTAGTGTTATCGAGCTGGCCTTAAACTTGAAATACTCTTATCCCAGCCTCTTGAGTACATGGGACTCACAGGTGTATGACGTGAAACCTGGCTAGGGATTTTATTGGAGCAGGAAAACACTATTCCATACAGTAACTAACCCCCAAATCTCAAGAAGATGAGTAGATAGAAGACACTAAATCCACATATGCTGAGCTTTAAAATATATATATATATATATATATATATATATATATATATATATATATATATACACACATATATATACTCTAAGCTATTTGGGATTCCACCCCGGAGGTGGGGGGGTCAAGATGGGATTTCTCTGTTTGTAGCTCTGGAACTCACTCAGACTCACAGTGATCCACCCGCTTCTGCCACCACCACCCAGTACTCTAATTTTAAGCAAGAGGAAGTACCGAGGGCTTTTTCTCATCCCTGCTTCTCATTTTAGAGAAGGGGACAGAAATCCAGTGACACGTTCGAAGTCAGCCTGCAAGTTACTGGCTGAACTGGGTCATGAGCCCCTACCCCTAAATCAACCATCATCCACAGCGCCTTGCAGGAAAAGTATGCAATCTGTCAAAGTTCAAAAGCAATTCCATTGAAAGGAGGAAGTCTGAGGATGGCCCAAGGCCAGCAACAAAAATACTTGAAACTCAAGGCCAAAAGTGCACGTTCTTTTAGAAGATAGTAAGTGATATAACAAGATAACCCTTAAGGGGCAACTGTGACCGCATTAAGGCAATCCCCCAATGTAATAATTATCATAGAAATGCTTTTATATATACCTCAGAGGAAAGGGGTTACTTCTGGACTTAAAATGGGATGAATTCTTTCTCAATTGTCTTATCAATCAAGCTATTCCTTATCTCTGTAGTGTAGTAGCACCAACACCCCCAAAAGAAAGAGAAATAAAAGACGCATGAAATCCTAGATCCAGTCTAGCAAAGTTGATAAGATACTCAAATAGATATCCAGGGAACAGGACAAAAGGTGAAGATGAGAGAGAGAGAGAGAGAGAGAGAGAGAGAGAGAGAGAGAGAGAG